TATTGTGTGACTTCCAGTTTAGACAGAAAATACAATTTTTCATCGGAAATTCATAACATGTTAGTTAAAATACACATTTTACTCATATCCCCAGTTTTTTGAGTCTTCTGAAAGCCAAAAGTAAATAACTCACTCAATTTACTGTATTTCTGATCCTATTGTGACTGCGAATGTCAATCTCAGTGTAAAGTCCTGTTACCTCAATTATTTCTTAGATGTTATCATGTTTTTCTTTATATTCTTTATATTTTTGTTAACCACCTGAAGGTGCTATTTTCTTTCATGTGGCTCCATTTCATGTATTTTCTGAAAAATGCTAAAATTCAGTCTCAAAGATCAGCAGTTACAAACAACTTTAGTGCCACATAGTAATAGACTGTTGTTATATTTTCATGGCTATACAGTATATGTGTGTGTAGACTGTGTGTGTGTGTGTGTGTGTGTGTGTGTGTGTAAAAGACAGAAAAAAAAAATCTAGGACTTAAAAGGCTTTATTCTTTGTTCTCATACTTTCTTAATTAATATGCTGAGAAATACCTGCCCCTCGACCCTAATTAAAGCTACGTGAATCTTTTTTTCCCGCTTTTGTGGTTATGAAAAAAATGCATATCCTCCATTTAGACACCTTGTAAAAAATAAATAAAACGGCCTGAGATTGACAATGAAGCATTTTGCATAGTTATAGATATAGATAGATACAGTCTTGAAAAAAAGATAAAGAATGAAGTTAGAACACGCAAGTGGCTCCAACCCGGCAGAAGGGCCCTTATATCTGGCCGAGATTGAACTTGTCGCAATGCGTTCATAAACTAATAAAAACATAAATCATTTTATTTGTGTGTTTGTTTTGTACATACAATCTACAAAGTAACTAGTAATTAAAGCTTTCAAACGAATGCAGTGGGTTAAAAAGTACAATATTTCCCTGTGAAATGTAAATTACTGGTGTAGAAGTTTAAAGTAGGAGAAAATGGAAACACTCAAGTACCTCAGTAAATGCACTTAGTTACTTTCACCCACTGTTAAGAATCTATGTTTACAGACAGAAACCACTGTTATATAAAAATCTACTGTGGGTGAGATTTCCCCTTTAAACCTGTGTCAGCATCATAACGACCTTACCAACATGGCCGCGCGCTTTGTCCACCGCAGAATCTCGTTCGTCACTGACGGAAAAACCCGAAGCTGCCCGAACCAGCCGACAGTCAGTCTGGTGTGTAAACAAGGTCAGACACTGCAGCACGCAGACCAAACACTTTCCTCACTGGGCGGCTGCTCGCTTTTAACGCCAGAAAGGAAGAAGACAACTTGATCAACCCAACCTCTGAAGACAAAGGTAGGCTGATGATCAACCGTATGTTTTTTGCGTTGCTGTGCAGGACGCACTGCAGGGATGAGTTACATGATATAACCAGCACAAATGTATAAGTTATGTGATTCTGTTACACGCAGAGCTGTAGATAAATCCGTTTGCACCGTGCATAAAGACTCTAACTAAGCTTCTATCATCCAGATTTGCCGCAAAGTCACACCGCAGGTCTGTGTTTACCTCTTGCGCAGTCATCAGCTGGCCTCCAACTGGGTCGCAAAAACTGCTTGGTCATGTTTTCCCACGACATGAATAAGCCTGTCTATTGGAGCATTTCTTTTTCAAATGACCTTTAGCTTGTTTTCAGTCTCTGCTCCTCCAATATCTGTCCACTTACACATGCAAACATTTGATTTCATTTATTGCCTTCAGCTTAATATGAATCAGCATTACTGTATACGTTGTACTAATGCAAGGTAATTCACCCGCATCATCCTGAGTCTGGGTCAGCATGAAAACCTGTTCAAACTGGTTGTCCTGACTGCTTCAGTGCCAAAAAGACACTGAGCTCACACATATTGCTGCAGATGACGATGGAGAGGAAGTGAGAGGTGCATAGAGAGTAAACCAGGAAGACAGAAAGAGAACGAGAGACTAACCAAGGACATAGTCAGACAGCAGCTGAGGCATTGCTGTGGCTCTGGGAGTGTGCAGGGCCAGTCACGTTTCAGCCCGCCTGCTTTTAGTGCTCAATTCTGCTCCAGTTAATCATCACTCTGATATGACCTCCTGCAAACCTTCCTGTTGGACCGTCACGTCTCACCAGAGATTATTTAACCTGATCAACTTTATATGTTTAGTGATTCGTGCCAAAGCAGAGGACACAGCATCCCTCGCTTTTAATAAGCTGTTGTGATCACACTCAGGTGTTGTGTTTTCTGAATGCACTTTCCATCACAAGTGGAATGATTTGCATGACTTAACAGTGTTTAAGAAGTAAACATCAGCAGTGTTCCAGTTTGCAAAGATGTGTCCTTTGATGTAACAGTACAAGTTGTGATGTTTTATCGGCCTAATCGTAGATAAAACCGTGTAACTTGTAGCGTCCTCTGTCGAGCTGTCAACGCTGCTAACAAGAACAAACAGTGGGGTTTTGGCTCACAAATTAAGAAATAAATCAACATGCAATTCTCTAAACTAACATGTTTTTGTATTATTTACTGCAGGACTCTATTACACACCTGCCAAGATGATGCAGTGTTTCCACTTCATGGTGGAGCCGGCCAAAACCTTAACGGCCAAGATAAAGGTATCAAGTTTTGTGTGTTGAATGTGCAAACCTTTTGTTTTTTTGGGTCACCTTCATACTTAAGTAGACAGTTGACATGACAACGTTTTTTTAGCACCATGTGACTGCACGCATTTCTGCTTTCCTGGTTAGAATTTAACAAGCGAGAGCTACTGTATGCATGGAGTTTTTTGGGAGATGAATCGAGGCAGGGAGCCTGGAAGGGAGGGGTGTCTTTATTTTCTGCTGACAGAAACAGAGCCACGATGTGCATTTTGATCAGACTGAGTGACCACCTCCTTTTCAGTCTGACCTTATTACTCACAGAGGCAGTTGTAAAGCAGCGCTAATGCCGTCCAAATGTCTTTTTTCTTGCTGAGAGCTTTTCAATTTCCAGTTTCCCCCCAGAAAATGCTTTAATCTTTACATTTTCTTGCAGGAATCACACAAGAGAGCAAAGAAGGAGAAGAGGGAGCCTCTGGATGAGGATCAACTGTTCCTTGTGGACATGGCTAGAGATCTCAGCCGAGTGTGCCAGGTAAGAATTAACTCATTAAACCAGAAATTATCTTGGCCATAGACAATCATTAATAGTTACAAACCACCCTTTTCCTTTGTCCTCATAAATAACGGACCAGTAGACCATGAGGGTCTTATATCACCAACCCCATATTTCCCTCTCTGTTTGCCACTGCAGAGGTCAGCAGTCCTGGAGCACATCTGGAACCTGGATGATACCTGGCCTACCTCCCTCTGCAAGGCCTTCATCCTACAATGGGCCTCCATGTTAGAGAGCAAGGTGCTTATCTTAGAACATTTCCAGAAGAGAGTATAGGGACAGAAGGGTGTATTACTAAAGGTTTGTGTGTTTCTGTGTGCAGAAGAGGCCCATGCAGACGGATGGCTGGCCTGAGGTGGATGAGGTCAAACACCCTGATATGATTAACGAGCAGGACCTGATGGAGGCCAAAACTGTGATCCTCAACTGGATCAAGGACCTGAGAGCTCAGCCTGAGGTGGGAAATGTACAAATAACATTTCCTGTTCACCTTACTCTCTTCCTTCAAACAATATATACTCAATAGACATATTTTATTCATCCTGCAGCAAAGTGTGTGGCCTGGTGAACCTGTGGCAAAGGTTCTGGATGACCTGCAGTCAGCCTGGCGTTGGGGCCGTGCGCCCAATCTGGTGACTGCTATGGAGCTGGTGATGTGGACTTTAATGGTGCAGCGCCCAGATAAGGTAGAGGAAAAGTCCATGTAACAGTTCACAGAACACCTTGTGTGTTATCTGCAGTTCATCAGTTTATTGTGCAGTTCATAATCCAAACCTGCTTGGTGTGTCCTTGCAGGACACCATACCCCAGCAGTGGCTCATGTGGAAGCAAAAGACTCAGAAGATTGGTTTGTAAATCAGTAATGAATCAAGTTGAATTTTATTGTAAAACTGGAGACTTTCATTTCTTTATGCGTCTGTTATTATCTCCTTTCAGGTGCCATATCCTACATTCCTCAACCAGGTGAGCTGAACTGTATGTTAGGATATTTAAAATCATTACATACAACCAGCTTCACTGGTTTCAAGTTAAATTCTGACTGCTTGCCATTCTTAACGACCCAATGCTGCTTGTTGGGACCATCATTCCTTTGGCAAAAATATATTTAACTATATTCTGGGTCCAGTTGGGTACAGGTGCAGGATAGCAGCATACAAAGAAAACGAAAGATGCTGAAGTTTTCAATCTGCCAAAATTTTAATTGATGCAGCGTTTCATACTTTGCGGCAAATCTGGATTATAGAAGCAATTAGACTCCTTAAACACAGTGTAGACTGACTTATCTACAGCTATGCATGTAATAGAATGACAATCTTCCTGCAACTGATACAAAATAACACCCATATTTACATGTTTACTCTACATAGAAAAATCACGTAATGTCCTAATGAAAGGACTGTAGTTTATTCAGAACACATGTGATACATATTTTCTTTTTAAAAGTGTCTTTTTGGCAACATACAAGTTAAAAAAAACCCAAATGCAAATAATTTAGAGATGATACATGTCCTGTTTATGCCTATGTATCACATATAGACTACTGTTTGTGCTACAGTGCTTTCTTTAAGACAGTATGTGTGTTTTTTTACTAAATTTTGAACTTTTTTTTTTTGAAACTCATCTTTTGTTTGTAGGTCAAAACATTACATCAATTAAAGTTTTGGGAGCTTTCAATCCAACATTCCTTCAACTTTCTCATCATCACAATATCTATAATACTGATGATACAGCCTGTATCTCCAAACTGACAACATAGCTCTCTGACTGTGTAACATCAGACAGACATTTCAAGTCCTCCCTTTTTTTGCAGTGTGGGAATGGATCTCAGATGCTGCAGGTACAGCATTCACTTTATCAAGTTATCAGTCAGTATAATCTTAACTGAGCCTGTCTGGTGATTTAAACCTCTCAACGCTTCCCTCTAGTGGAGGTGACTCTGGATCAGGACACGGCCAACCCTGATCTACTCATCACCGACGAGAAGAAGATGCGCTGTGGCTTTGAGAGAAAGGATGTTCCCAACTACCACCAACGCTTTGATGGCTGGTGGTGCGCTGTTGGGGTGGAGGGCTTCGGTTCTGGCCGCCACTACTGGGAGGTGGAGGTGGGTGAACGGGACTGGCGGCTGGGCGTGGCCAGGGAGGCGGCCCTGAGGAAAGGCTTCAAGTCCCTGAACACGGATACGGGTTACCTGACCTTGAGGCTGGAGAGGGGCACTGAGCTGAAGGCACTGACGGTGCCCTTCACCGCCCTGCCGCCGGGCCTCATCCCCCGCAAGGTGGGCATCTACCTTGACTACGACCACGGCCAGCTGTCCTTCTATGACGTGGACAAACACTTGCACATTTACACCTACAACGAGAGCTTCACTGAGAAGCTGTTCCCCTTGTTTGGTACAGTGGAGATCATCAAGGATCTGGTGATTAAGTCTCCCGCAGCTAAAACCCAATGTCTGTGCCCCTCACCCTGCATCTGGGGTTGAGTCTCCTTCTGGTAAAAATTCCTTTAAATTCCAGCAGATATCCTAATAAAGTCTAACAAATCAGGTTATATAATAATCATTGGGAGGAATCCGAGATCCTGATATAACAGACCATCATTGTGCTATTAAATAGCTCCACTATGTGACCACGCTCTATACTACTGCTGCTGCTGCTGCTGCTGCTGCTTTAATGTGATCGTTGCAACCACTTCCTCACTATATATCTATAGTGCTGCTGTTTGCTCACATACATGATGTATTTTCATATATTTGAGAGGAAACATATTGTATTAATGTAATGTACTGTGCAATATTAACCCTGCAGTAAGAATGCGTTCATGTGAATAATAAATAAACCAAATCCATGTCTTACTTTTTGGCCTGTTTATTTCTACACTACACATTACATAATGGGTGCTATATATATATCACAAAAACATGAATCATTCTGTGGCATGCACAGAACAAAATAGATGAATCTTTAGTCAGAAAGAGTAATCTGACCTGAGAGTTGAAGTGTGTGGTATGTAATCAAACCCAGTCCGTGATAGGTCACAGTATCTCGGGTAGATACGTTTCTGGTGTCAGCCATCTTTTCTCTTGTTTCTCTCTCTTTGCCATTCCTCTTTAGCCTTTCATGTCTCTCCTGTCTGTGCTGTGGTTATGAAATATTTTGAGCACACTTAAAGAAACCACTTACCCACAGAGCATGGACAGAAACAGCACCTGAGCCTAAGTAGACCTAGTAATTGATATTTTAAAGTCTTATGAACCCACCAGAGGCTCAACCAAAGGTGTTTCAAATGCAGAGAATCTGATTTTCAATTCTAGTAGAGTTCTTAGATTCCAAACATAGCAAATATTTCAAGCTGAAATTGCAAGGAAAGTGTGTAAAAAGATTAAAACTATTTAATCTTATAATAACATATGTTATAAATTATCATAGATTAAGCTGCTCATCAGTATATAAAGTAATTCAAATTAGCCACACCAGATGCAGCATTAAAGTGATGAACACAGTAATGCATCAATAATTATATCCCACCATAAAATATACATATATTCTGCTTAATAAGTACTTTTATTTAAGTAAGTAAGTAAGTTTGATGCTTATATTTGTGTAGTTTTACTTAAGTAAAAAATCTGAATACTTCTTCCACCACTCTTATTATTACTTTTAGTTGAGTAGAGGGTCTGACAGGGGTGTCCATATACTTTTGGCCATATATGTGCAGCAGCCGAACCAATCAGAGAGCGCTAACACACAAACACAAAAAACACAAAATAAAAATGACATATAATGAAATATAATAACAAAGAAATAAAAAGGTAAATATAGCGCATTAATAAATCACAGGGAGTCAGCAAACACAGATTTATTTTTAAGAAACTTTATTTTCAGATTTTCGCGACGGCAATGACGCCATCGGTGTGCGACACCGCCAGATAGGTTTATATGAGTTCTTCACCGACACACGTACGATGACAACAACTTTAAACCAAGCTTTAAAAACCCACTTTGGGTTCGATACCTTCAGGTGTAAACTACAGGAAGATGTTGTCAGAGCGGTCCTCAGAGGTGAGCCTGTCTGTGTGTCTGTCTGTCACTTTGTCTCTGTGCTCAGTCAGCTAACGGCAGCTAGTTTCGTAGCCACAGGCACGTTTATATTTCTGTTCAAATGCGAGGCTGTTGTACTGTACTGATGTCTCCAGTGCTGAGAGAGAGGAAGAGAGTAATGTCTGGTGTCTAATGCTCTGAGGTGACTGCTGTTGTCCTCCTGCAGGTGACAGGGATGTGTTTGTGTGCATGCCTACTGGAGCAGGAAAGTCCCTGTGCTACCAGCTGCCTGCACTTATGGCTGAAGGTATTACTTTGGTTATATCCCCGCTGATCGCTCTCATTCAGGTCAGTCTCTGATTGCGCTGCTCCAATGCACACCATTCAAACACACGTAAGATCTGGCGTGCGGTCTCAGTTGTTCGTTAATCCTTTACTGTGTGTCTCCCCAGGACCAAGTGGACCGCCTGAAGAGTCTGAACATCCCTGCCTGCTCCATCAACTCCAAACTCCCAGCAGGCGAGCGCCGTCTGATCCTGGCTGACTTGGGGAGCGGCAGCCCCAAGCTGAAGATGCTCTACATCACTCCGGAGATGGTGGCCTCGCCTTCCTTCCAGCCCTGCCTGACTGACCTGTGCTCCCGCGGCCTGCTGTCCTACCTGGCTGTGGACGAGGCTCACTGCGTGTCCCAGTGGGGACACGATTTCAGGCCGGACTACCTCAAACTGGGTGTGCTGCGTGCTCGCATCCCCGGGGTCCCCTGTTTGGCCCTGACAGCGACAGCACCCAAGAATGTACAAGAGGACATTGTTGAGTCCCTGAGACTGCGCTCGCCGCTGTCTTTTGTTTCACCTGTCTTCCGCAGTAACTTGCACTATGATGTGATCTTCAGGGAGCTGCTGCCAGACCCCTACGTCCACCTCCATGCCTTCATTAAGAAGGCGCTGGGACTGGACAGCGGGTCTGATGGACAGGTTGGTAGACTTGACTCTGTGAAGAGATGGGATTTTTTATGTGGAATTGTTTATTTTCTCTGAATAACAGATCACCAGCAGCTCGTCCTCATTCATCTATGTTTCTGTTTTTTTTTTAATTTTAATCAATCAATCAAAATGACGTTGGAGCGGTAGGCAAAGAACAGCTCGTAAGAATAGAAACAAAAACACTGTTACACTATTCTCAGTGTTCCCTTATGCAAGAAAAGACCCTTTAAAGTTTGCGGGTTTGAGCAAAATAAACAACAAACACCTTTTAAAAATAGATGTTTACTGGAGCCAGGACAATATGATATTTATATTTGAGTTTAAAGCCTCTCAGCCTTTATGATGCAGCATGTACTGTAATGTACGGCGTCTACTAAGCCGGACATTTTACAGTTCAAAAGTGAACTTTTCGGTGCTCTCGTGTATGTACAAAATATGAAGGCTGTTTTATTTCTGTGCTACAGAGTCTTATTAGCCTATGATAAAGGATAGGAGTAGATTTAATATGATTTTGAAATCAAATCAATGTTAAAATTCACATTCAACTCTAAAAGTTGTGACAAAGATATACGTGCTGGAGGCCGGGCATTTTACAGTAGAACAATAAAATAGTTTACAGTTCACACCAACATCTGCCAGTTTGTGTCCATATTGGTGTGTATGACGGTTGATTGGGTATAATGCCGGATGTTTAAGATCATTAAGAAACATTTTCCAACAAACTTTTCAAATATCAATATTAGAATTTTTGAATACATTTTGTTAAATATATATTTTTATTTAACACAAGTGGATAACAGTATTTACAAAACCAAAGAATTCACAAAACAACAACAGAAATACAGGGACATGAGGACATGGATAAAATGCACAAACTTAAAAGAAAGCAGGAAGGCAAAGAGGAACAAAACAAAAACAAAAAACACAAGTGGGGATAGTCCTAAAGGGTAGTGTTGGGCATGCACGTTATGTGTGGGTTGTGTTGTCAGTTTGAGTTATAATAATTGAATTGAACATTTAATGTTTCATAAAGTGTAGTGTATCAGCATGTAGGCTGATACCGACCTGTGATTAGACCATATTAGCAGATATATCTTCCCTTGAATACGAGCACAAGAGCGCTGGTTTCTTTAACCTACTGTATGTAATATTTGTGAACAGGGTTGTGGGATTGTGTACTGTCGGACCAGGGAAGGCTGTGAAACTGTGGCTTACCAGCTGACCAAGCTTGGAGTCTTGGCCAAGGCTTATCATGCAGGTTAGACGTTTTTCCTCCATGTAGGTGTAGGACTAGAAAACAAAAACATACTTTGACTCAAATACTTCTGAATTCTGCTTTTATACTGTAGGTCTTAAGGGAGGAGATCGCACAGAGGTCCAGAATGAGTGGATGCAGGGGAAGGTGCTGGTTATTGTAGCCACCATCAGCTTTGGTATGGGAGTAGACAAGGCCAATGTCAGGTGAGGTTTTGCTGTATAGTTTTGTATTGGCTACAGTAAAGTTTGTTGTGCTAATGCTCTTGTTTATCCCGCAGATTTGTAGCTCATTGGAACCTGGCAAAGTCCCTGGCCAGTTATTACCAAGAGTCTGGGCGAGCTGGGAGAGACGGGCTGCCCTCATCCTGTCGCACATACTACTCCCCGAGAGACAGGGAGCAAATGAACTTTCTCATCCGCCAGGAGGTTGGCCGCAAACAGGTCAGCGCAATAATGTGAGGAACTACTATAAATAAGTAAAACCCAGCATTTTTTCAGAGGTTTGAGACCATTTTGTGAACTTTTGTCAACAGGAAAAACGCGGCTCTGCGAAGGAGACCGATAAAGCAGCCATTACAGACTTTGAAGCCATGGTGTCGTTCTGTGTGCAAGAATCGTAAGTAGACTGTTCACTGCACACTTACAGGCAACTCACTTAGTTTATTGCATACAGTTAAAGTGTAGAGTCATGGTATCACATCATTACATAATGTCTTCACCCTTTGCACGCATATAATATGCAGTTTTATACAGGAAACATAACTTTCATTACATGCATACTAGGCTTTTCAAAATAAAATCACAGTCCATGTCAGTTTGTGTACAGCAGGGGGCAGACTTGATCTGTCTTTTAGGCTTTGTTGTGAAGCGTTCAGGAACACCGCTCCCCCTTAGGAGCATCTCACCTAACTAACAAAGTCTGAATGCTAATTCTCATTCCTTAATAATGACACAGGTATGTTTAGAAATACACTAACAAACTAATTTGGCTTTCCTCTTCACATCTCTCTGTGTAACTCGCTGTTGATGTGCTGCAACTTAAATTATTCTACACACTTTTATAGCTCATATTCCGCTTTTATTAAAGAAACTTTGGGTTGGTGCTGCCTTTTCCTCAAATCAGAGGCGTTGTTGTCCTGTAAGGTGCAGGGATGCCCGGAAGAATGTAGCCTCTCCTGAAAGCCTGGCTGCTTTAGCAGGTGGGTTTGGCAGCCAGTCAGGACATCCTTCTCTGTGTTTGTCAGGTGCTTTGTTGTTGAAGGGCTGGGCTCCTCTTGTGCCACTGAACACGCCCTGTCGGACGCTTCATTGCTCACTGAAATTTCTCAAATGTCTGTCTGTTAATTACATGACCATGACTCTTGAGGACGCTTTTTTCAGCGTGTCCTGTTGGATGTCCTTGTGCGGAGAAGCATTCACTCAGATATTCTGGCCCTTCGTCTTTGAGGTGCGACAGCAGCAGCAGCAAGTCACGCAGCTCAGCACTATCATGAGTACGACCACCACTGTGGGAGGGCAAATAAAAACAGCATCATGACCGGCTCACGCTTTAAGAAACGCAGACATTAGAAATGATAGTTAGACTCACAGATGAAGGTTAGGAGGACGAAGAAAGCGCCCAGCTCTACAGGGGTGGCGTTGGGAAGACCCTGCAGCTTGACCCATATCTTGTTCAGGAGGTCCAGCGTCTCTTCTCTGGGGTCCATCCTAGTGGGGCAGAAACGAGGTGGAGGCATTTTAAGTCATGCTCGAGTTTGGTTTACATAGTATCTCATTTATTTGCCTTTGTTTAGTGTCAGGATGTAACTCCTGTTGCTTGTTACGACATAGCTGTTGTGTTGACACGTATCTTTTTTTTTTTAATTTATGAGCATGATAAAATTCTGTTGAACAGTTTCTCAATCTGTGGTTCCCTTTATTTAAGAGACAGTGGGAGGATTACAGTGCGAAAGAAAGGCAGCAACGAAGTGCACAGATCAGTAAATCATGTGTTTTTTTTTTTTAGTCAAGAGTGAGTCTGAAAGGGAATCTGTTTACCAGGGTAATGATACAGGGGGTGGTGCAGCATAACTCAACAGGTTATCTGTCAGGCTAAAAGAACCAAAAGAAGAAAAACAGGGTCCTCCTCTGTGTTCAGCTGTTGAACAGAAGGCTCCCCTGACAGCTGTCTCATTGTGTTTTAATGTTTATAGACTATAATGTGTTTTTAATGGGTGGCGTTCCAGTGTCGAGTTATACATGATTTACTGTTGACTGTGTTATTGTGCTCTACAGTAAATACATGGCACTGGGTGTGACGGTTCAGCTCTTAGCTGGTTTATGAAATATTAGATTGCATTATGAAACATTATGAAATAACACAAACACTGTATAATGGAATATGGTTCATTACTTTGTTAATGCTCAACATTTGGGAAAATACGCTTCATCATTTCTTGTCGAGAGTTAGATGAGTAGATTGATACCACTGATTTGTAGCTGGAGCCAGTAGCTGGTTAGCTTAGCATAAAATAATGGAAACAACTAGCCTGGCTCTGTACCAGAACCTCTAAAACTCACTAAATAAAATGATATCTCGTGTGTTCAACTGGTACAAAAACCAAAGCATAGAAACGACAATTCTGATTATTATTGGCTGGGAACAGAAACCTCCTGGACCTGCCACCTGGTCCCAGCCAAGAAATAGTCTGTCACATTAGCCACTGCAAAAGTGCAAATAGTTTTTATACTTAAACAAACGAGATATAACGTGTTACTTATCGATCCTTAGAGGTGCTGGTAGGCGCGTGTGTTTAGTTTTGGGCTAAAGATAACTGACTTTTAATGTGATTTGGTCCAAAAAGTAGTCAGGCTATTGTACTGCACTGCATTGCTCTGTAAATAAGTTCAATTTCTCCATTGTGTCCTAATAACATCTGAATCAGCACCCCTATACAATAGTTAAAACATAAGTTGAATATTATAACCTTTATGAAGCTAAGATTTATTGCAGGGCTGCTGTATACAGTAGTACTACATACCTAGTATACTGGCAGCAGAGTGCTACTACAATGTTTTCATGCTACAGCCACTTTTACTGCAGCAGAATTCCCATGAAAGAGCTTTTTGAAGTGCAGTTAGAGATTTTAAGAACACGCAGATACCAAACCAGAGCTGGTCAACACTTTAGAAACATAACAAGTTATTTAGCTAGTGTGGCAGATAACCCTGATTGAGTTTTCCCATTGTCCCTTTGACTCTTTGTTAGGTTTAATCACGAGCATTATCATTTACAGATAGTGTTCAAACAGTGGGAAACGCCTCAGACACCCAGCTTTTAAAAATACAATAAAAAAACGGCAGAATTTTACCTCCTTGTTTTAAAGCGGGCAAGTTTAACGTCTTCAGTAAGTATTTTTTAACACATTCCTCACATTCTTCTCTATCTGAAGTATTTCTCAGGTTGTGTGCCTCTCGGACGGCACTGGCACAGACACACACACGCAGTGAAAGGCACTTACTTGTGAGAGCCTTTTGTTGTTTTCACACACTCAGCCCAGCCCAGACTGACTGAAAAATTACAGAACAGAAGTAAGCAGACAGGTTGATGAGGAGATGGCAGGTAACTCCTTCAGGGAAGAAATGACACATTCATCACTGAGTGTCTTTACTTGTCAGTTTGCTGCTGAAACGTGCAGTTGGGCATCCAGAGGAGGAGTCCTCAGACAGAGATTAGCAGTCAGGTCCAGATTAAGGTTAGGAGGGATAATTCCTCAGGTACTGATGATTGTCTGCACGTGGAGGGGAAGAAAAGTGAGACAAACAAACCCCATTCACTGCTCTTCTGTCTCCTCTTAATCTTTGTTGCTCTTCTCTTCTTCTCTTGCTTTTTGGTAGTGACACTGTAGTTATCTGCTGTGCTTTAGTTTGTCTGCCTCCAAGGCTGTTTTCTCTTTAGCAGTCCTCCCTGGGAGTGACTGTTGCCTCACAGAGTCTTTGTGTGCCACTCAGTCTATCCCCACCTCCTTTGGTGAAACTGCTGCTCTCGCTTTCATGGCTGTGCAGGCAGCTTTTCCATTTCCAGCTAGGTAGTTGGTATGTCGTTGAAGTGGCTCGTCTAATGGCTCGGGTTGGTTCCCCGAACAGAGTGTGTGTGTGAATATTAGCCGTTACATAACACTGGATCTGATACATAAGTGTGAGGATGTGTTTTGTTTAAAAAGTGGAAACCTTCACATCTGGGACTTATATTTTAATATAATATATATATATATTTTAAATAAATAAAAAAGTCAGCTTCAAATGTGTTTAAATTGTAGGAAAATAAGACTTATTAGAAATCAAGATTTCATTTTCTCTACTGCATTCTTATTATTAGTCCATGAATATGTACTGTAATAAGGCTAATGGCTTTAGTTTTAGTTTTATATAGTTTCATTTCCTGTGATAATGGACCCCTGTTTGGCTTATTTCATAACAGCAACATCGATCATAGTAGTGTGTGATGGTTACACAATAGCTAATAGATCAATAATGCTCTAAATGGTCTGTGTATGACGGAGAGATGTTTGCCGTGTGCTCAAAAACATCCTCCGCCTTGGCCTTTTAAATTCAGACTCTAGGATGTAACAAACGTCAGACTGTCTCGCATCTATTTGCTAATGTTGCTCCAACTTGCAGGAGCTGTAACACTGGCCTTGCATGTAGTTTTTAATTAACTGTGTCTCTTTGTTTCCCCCACCAGTTGTCGTCATGCCACCATCTCCAAGTTCTTTGGGGACAAGACACCCAACTGTGCAGGCGCCTGCGACTTCTGTCGTAACCCTAAAGCTGTACGAGCCCAGCTGGAGAAGGCGACTGCACTCAGCACAAAGACTGAAGCTCAGGGGAAAGGGCCCACGGGACCGTTCGGTTTCCAGCCGGGTCTCTATGAAGGAGGAAGGAAGGGCTATGGCTTTGAAAGGCAGGACAACTTTAGTGCCACTCTCTGAAATGTTTGATTTGTCCCTCTTGGGTTCGCTTTTGTTTTGTAAAGCAAACCTGTCGATTGACGCTGACATCCTCACCTTGCAGGTATGATGAAGTGGACGGGGGTAGTAGTGAGGATGATGGCACAAAGAGGAAAAAGGACTTTTCTGACTTATTCAAGAAGCAGATGAACATGCGGAAGGTAAAGTATAACATTTAATGCACACAACCTCTTATTAGAAATGTACATTTTCTACAACTAGAAAAACAACTTCAGTGTTTTTGTTGTGTCTTTTGTACATCTGTTCGCCAGCTGTTGGCAGCAGGAAGGTACGGGGCTGTTGAGGCCTCTGTAAGTGAGGATTGTGGTAAATCGCTCCCACATGTTTGCTGGAATTGACGCAACATTGAAGCAAAACTATTCCTCAGTGGGTCCGAGAGAAGCTTGTACAGTTTACAACATCAATAAAAGCAGGAATGCCACGATTGTTAAATGATTTAAACAAATACACACAACAACAAGTAAGAGACTAGGACATGTGGCGATGGAAAAGGAGGCCATTGTCACCCTGAACCCCTACCATTCAGAACATATATCACAAATCACAAGCTGCCTCAGGGGGCTTTACAATGTGTGAAACATTGGACCCTCGATTAGGGGAAAAATAGAAGAAACCTCAGGAAGAGCCGGACATGCAATAGATGTAGTGTGTACAGAAAAGACCAACAAATAAAATCACAGTATGTTCAAATCATGATGACAGAATTACAGATATACAGATAGATCTGTCCACATAAGTGATCTACCAGGTTAAAGTGATATTCCACCCAATAAAAACATATGTTGGTAATCAAATGCTAATATAGGCTTGAAATATGTCAAAATATGGCCTTGTCAATCCGTTACACCTTATTTCCAGTCAACTCTGTGAACTGGGTGGATTCAAAGGTCTGGACCCAGGCAGTCCTCATTGGATAGTGCCGGTAGACAGATGGTGGGAAATAAAGGGGAGGGAGTTACAACAACGAGCTGTAGCTGAGCTCAAACCTTGATGTTGCTGTTCGTGGTCTTAACCCCTACACCACGGGGTCGCCTCACAAAAGATAAATCCAATCCAGTTCATCTGGCGGTGTTGGGGTTAAGTGTGGATGTGGATATTGAATAGCATGGCTATATGCTGCAGAGGTTAAGGAAGTGCACCAGTGTGTCAGTTTGTGCTGGTGAATATCTGAGAATTAACCTCTGCCTGTGCTCATGTTTCTTTAGGGAACTGAGGGTCCGAGGGAAGACTTTGTTCCTCCAGGTAATACCAATAGAAGAACTCTATGAATTCTGAATGGCTATCCAGGCACATCTGTACTGTCATATAACCGCTGTGTCCTGCTGTGTAGACGCTGACTGCCCACTCAGAGAGGCCAGCAGCCAGAGGATCCCCAGGCTCACTGTGAAGGTAGAGCACAGCACTCGGGCACATTCCTCATATGTGCTGCACTCATTAACACGTCCGCAGGAATTCAATGACTCATGTGTTATGAGATGTGAAGGGAGGCTGTAAAGTGACACCACCGATGTAAACAACAGCTCATTAAAGCAAAATCAAATACTGCCTACTGTATTACAGTACGTAAGTGAGAACAATATAGTATATAGTATATATAATCTAGTAAAAATGGGCATTATGAGCCGAATGTGCAGCTTTAGTATCTGAATCTTCAGCAGCTCATTATGTCGGACACACTGGCACAGTTTTATTGAACAAAATATACAAAGATGTGAAGATATTTCTTGGTAATGCA